CGTTGGCGTTCGCGTCAACCGTTTCCTTCGCGTTCTCTTTCTCTCCGACCCCCTGCCCCTCACTCAGTGTTTCCCTTCCCGGACTCTTTTGTTCTCGTGGCGCGTTCCGTTTGGCGAGAGAGACGCGCGTTCAAAGACAACGAAACGAGGAAACGCGTTCGTTCACAAGACACTTTACTCGTCTCTCGAAAAGCAATCACGATTCTCCTCTCTTTTGATCGTTCCATTTTGCTATTTCCAGGAACGGCAAACGAGAGGTCTAGAGGCACAGAGAAAGAGAGAGAGAGCAGCTTGTCGTGGTCGTCAGACGAGCGCGATTTTCAAATGTTTGAAAGAGTTTAGTCGAAAGGCGCGCAGCCGCGATAGATACGCGACCTGCTCCCTTGCGATTCATCGAATCGAGATTCGACCTGACTCGCCGCGCGCAAATAGACCAGCAGATAATGGAGACAGACTAAGAATAGAGCGTTTAAAACTCGTAAATGGAGCGTGACGCGCCTCGTTCGCGTTCGTTCGTTCCACTGACTTTCGATCGCGATCAAATCACTGTTAAATTCGCGAATCGAACGCCTCGCTTAGTGTTCCTCCGTCGCAACGAAACTCACCTATTATGCTCTCAGATGTGTCGCAACGGTTGACGATGGACGAAAAGAAAGCCAGGGCCAGTGCTAGGGCTAGAGACCTCGAAAATGATCGCGACACCCTCATCTTCGATATCGCTCGTCTCGCTTGCGTCCGCGTGTTCGTCCTCGTCCTCGCTGTCGCCGCCAATAACGACGACAATTTACTGGAAAGGAGAAAGTAGAAGCATCCGTAAATTTTTTTTTTGTTTTTAACAGAAACGGCGGAGAGACAGAGGAAAAGAGGCGACGAACAGACGTTTTACGGGAAAAAGCGCGCGCGGATTCGGATCAAGGCTGGGTAGCGGCGCGCCCCTCCGCGTAATAACTCTCGTCGTGTCGCGGGCAAACGGAAGGAGAAGAAAGGAACGATCCGTGGAGCGTGGTGTACAGTAAACGAGCGCGAGTTTTCTCGCGCCACCAACCGTCCATCCAACGATTATTGTCGTAACCTTCCGTCGGTGAGTATATTTGCGCTAGATCTCCGTATATTTTCACGAGTCACGCGCAACCTACGGAATCTTTCTTCGGAAATCCGTAACTGCCGGTTTGCGGTCGTTCTAAGAATCATGTAGTTACGAGTCAGCTCGCGTCCTCCATAGCCGCGAAACGATCCAGCAGAATCGATTCGTGCACCCGCTTGCGAACTAAAATCTAGATTCTCGCCTCAAGGATTCTCCGATCGAAAAGTCTCCTCGTCCGGGGGCGATTATACCCGAGAGCGAGATTTGCATAGAATCTTGCGCGTTCCCCTACTGCTGACTGGAAAAAATGCGGTCAAACCTACGATCGTCGTTGCCGTGAGAGCTTAGAAAGTCGAGCGAAATTTTCCGTGTTCGCGTGCTCGAAGAGACTGTGACGTTCCAT